ACCCATTCCACCCCATCCCACCCTCCTCCCCAGTCCCTCTCCCCACCATCTTTTGTGTCCCTGGGTTATGCATATGTGCATATAAGTTCTTTGGTTAATCTCTGTCCACCTACCCACCCACCCCCACCTTCCCTCTGAGACTTGTTAGTCTGATCCATGCTTCCATGTCATTAAATCTATTCCGTTCATCAGTTTATTATGTTGTTTAGATTTCACATATAAATGAGATCACATGATGTTTGTCTTTCTCTGCCGGGCTTATTTCGTTTAGCATAATATTCTCCAAGTCCATCCATACTGTCCTAAATTGTACAAGATCCTTCTTCTTTACTGCTGCACAGTATTCCATGGTGTGTATGTCCCACAGCTTTTTTATCCACTCATCTACTGATGGGCACCTGGGCTGTTTCCAGATCTTAGCTATTGTAAATTGTGCTGCTATGAACATAGGGGTGCATATATTCTTTCTGATTAGTGTTTCAGGATTCTTAGAATATATTCCTAGAAGTGAGATCACTGGGAAAATTATTTTTTTGAATGATGAAACCAAGTATAAATAAAAGATAAATCATTCTGAAGAAATTAAAAGTTTCAATTTAATCACACTAAATGAATCCATACATAACCATAAATGGCACAAATTCTCTAGAGTAAATCTCAAATAGTTAGTGAAATTATCAAGTAACTTGGTGAAATATATTTTTCGAAATATATTTTTAAATTATTTGCATGTACTTTTCAGTCCATTTCTATACGATTTTAAGTTGATAATGTCTTTTTTGTGTGTGTGTGCCCAAGGTTATTTTTATTAAATTTCTGACAAGTATGAACCTTTTGTAGTATTCCTATCAGGTTTTTCTGGATTTATCAGAAGTTTTAGATTCTTTACCCAAACAAACCTTATTAGTCTAAATCCTTGCCAGTAATATCTTGTGGATCTAAAAAAAACATTGCTTTTAATATTGGTTCACAAAATAACCAAAATTAAATTTTAAAAAGGTTTGTTATATAGAGACTCCAATGGTCCATTGAAATTTATGAAAGAAGAAATATAAAGACATATTTTCATTTACCAGAATCATTATTAAACCAGAACAATAAATGAAATACACAGTCATCATACAATAGGTTAACCTGGGAGGAATATCATAATTATAATTGGAAAGGTACTTGGACATAGTACACTGAAAATTTTGGAATTTACCTCTGAAGTTATAGTTTCCACCTTTAGTTTTTATGAAAATATTTGGGGATGTTTACTCAAACACATTTGAATCTTATGGATTTTTTGTTCCTGAAGGAACTAATTTTGTAACTTTTTTCTGATTTAATCACAATGTGTTTTAGTTCACTGGCCCAAGTCATGGAAAAGGTTTCAAGTAGCACTTTATAACCTAGTAGCTTTCTTTCCATTTGCATGATTTTCTAAGTTTTTGTATATAAAAAGATTAAATCATTTTATCAGATTATATTATAAACTGTTTTGCAAATAATCATTCCTGTTTACATAAACTGTATACATTTATCAGTTTTTTATAATAATACTTGGTCAATATAAAATAACATTTATTATGCTATAGTTTTTAACATAATGTTTTATAACATTTCAATATAACAATAATATTAACTATGATAGGAATTTTTATACATTACCTCATTTAATTTTACTTGACATTTGCTGCCTCATTTAATGTATAATATACCCATTTTAGAGAAAGTTGAGTCACAGAGAAACCATAATATTAAGACTTGGAATTGAACCTAAATTACTAGACTTCAAAGCCCAGAATCTTAACCATTACAAATCTTATGATATCTTACTATTATAGTAGAATTTGGTGTGGAAAATTGATAATAGCATTTCTGTGTAGGGTTCAAAGATTAAGAATGGCTCTAGATAATCTCATTTAAACCTAAACCTATATGACTCTAATCATTTCAAACCTATAGTAATCACTGTAATCAAGTACTCTAAAAAGTATTCCAAAAGGTAGTCTTGTTTCTAGACACACCCTTAAATATATAAAATCCAATATACTTACTGTTTTAATTTTTCAAGACTACCACCAAAACAAGTTTTAAATTGTAACATTTGAAAAGTATAATTTAGTGTAGTATTGTTTTATAATATAGATGTCTATAATTTTTTTCTATTATATATTTTTACTTCCATATGTTCTGATAGGATGGAAAGGCAAATATAAATTAAAAGGGTTGTGGTAACTTCAATAAGAAAAGATGTTGGAGATCTCTTAATCTAGTTATTTAAAAATGTTCTGCAGAGCCATTGGGTTCAGTGGGGATGGCGCAGAAGCCAAGTAAGGTCTGACTGGAATAGGAAAGGGCCACAGTTTCTTTCCCTTTTGAACAGAATGGCTTCTTTAAAAAACAAACAAAAACAAAATTATCTTTACATATTGAGATTGCATGTAAAATTTGATTTGAAAGAATTCTATCTCTAAACAGAAATTTATGAAGTACTTATCTTTCCAGTTGATAAAGCATAACCAGATTTAAATGATTTACTTACACCCATTTCAACTCACTTGTATTCTAATCTGAATCTTCATCATGTCTAAGAAATCATGTTTTTGTAAACACATCTAGGTGGGGTGTAGGGTAAGAGTGTGAAAAGGGGTTTAATTAAAAACTAACTGTCATCATTTCATTAACCACTCCCTCAAAAATAAAACTCCAAAATTGTTTTTGTGAGCAGATATTGGATTTATTAGGTGAGGAAGATTATATCAAAAGAATAACAATGTGTGAGTAGTGGATAACAGAGGTAGTGGGGGCTGTTTTTCTATTTTAAGGAAGCAGAATAGGAAATTTGCAGTGCTACTCACTCATGAGTAAGAAAATGTCATCCAGGTCTTGACATTCATTTATGATACAATTACTCTTGTCATCTGAAACTTTTTCAAGTTTTGTAGTTCACATCCCAGGAAACTTTATCTCTGGGCCCTACTCTTTCTGAGTGGAGCTTCCCAGGGAACACAGCTTTACCTACACATGGGAATAATTATAGGTTCTCTGGAAATCTTCTGATTCTCTGGCCTCTATATTGGAGAGGCTTCTTATGGCCCAGCCTCTCAGTTTCTACCACCAGGTTTTCAACACAGAGGAAAGGCATAATGATCATAAATTAGTTCTAGAAATACTCTGGCAATCTGACAGTAAAAAAAGAAAAAGAAAAATTCTATTCTTTCAAATATAGCCCAAAGGAATAAGATACCCTCACTAATTCTACAAAAGGAGTTGGATTTATAATCTATAAGCCGAGAGGATACAGCTGATTTCCCTATAGGCTCATGGAAAGTATAATAGTCATAACTTAAAACACGCCTTTTTATTTTTTTCTTCCTTCCTTACAGAAGTCTCAATAATAAGTTTTCTTTTCTGTACCTGTGATTAATCTTTGCTTTCTGAATTTAGGTACTTTAAGCAAGAAACAAATTATTACAGATATCAATGTCTTGTGTATTTTGTATGAAGGAAAAATAACAATAAAGAATAAGAATTAATCTTTAATTAGCAAGTGAAATAAATTACCTATTTTAATATGTAAGGAGCTGTGTTATTAAGAAAACCAAGTTTGTAAGACACAAATTTTTCATGCTCTCAATATCTAAATTTGAAAGAAAAGTGGGGACAAACTACACCTTTTTTCTGAGGGTAAACATAAGTGGAGAAGCTGTTGAATAGAATGTGTGATGTGGCCTGAACTTTTCCCTTATTTGCTCAATACATGTCTTACATAATATAGTAGGCCTTCCTCTGCCTCAAGTGAATAAAACTGATTGTAATTTTGTAATATAAAGCATAGTGTTAAAGTATAATTTATAATAGCAATACTTAATTACTCATGATTATGTTCAAGGCACTGAGGATAATAAATGAACACAAGTATGTCAAATATCTTACCTGTTCTTAAGGAAAAAATGTAAACTTACACCGTGTTAACAAAAGTGAATCAATCAGAATTTTAAAAAGTAAAGAAACTTAATCTCTCTCTCTCCTTCTCTCTCACTCTTTCTCAAAAATATTAGTGCATGTTTGAAGTAATGTCAGGATAGTACGTGTATCTTTGCTTATGTATCATCCAGACTGGTGTTAGACAAATAACTGTCCAAACATGTTATTCTACAGAATAAATTTCCTTTCATTTCTGTTTTCTGATGAACCTGGCTCGACAGCCTTGGGGCATGTACACGATTTCACTGCAATTTTAAGCTTACAGCTGCCGGTGTGTAAGCAGTACCCAGGCATCCCCATTACTTGACATTTCTGGGCCCAGGGTTCTAAAAAGTAATAATGAGTTTTCAGCTTTAGAGGCAGAGGCTCTGGAAACCATGTCTGCCTCCTGGGACCTCAAGTGGTCATTCTTGGGACTGCTTGCTCTTTGTAGAAACTCCTCCCTGTAGCACAGGGGGCTGCTTGAATAAAAGAGAAAGATTCTGGATGAGTCAGATAGAGTCACTACTACATTATGGCACAGAATCTGGAAAGGAGCAAATATATGCACATATATCTATTTTGGCAACAATAAAATTGGAATTTTCAAATCATTTAATATTCCATCTGTCTGATTTGCAAATGACATTAATATTGTATAATTTTAGTGAAGTTTATATAAGACATGAAATAACTTTCCAAAAAAGATGACTTAATCTTTGAGTTGTATTTTTTAGAAAGATTCATGATGTTATATAATAAATAAAACTGGAAGTTGGCACTATGGATTTTTTGTCTCAATTTTTAAATAGGCTTGCAAAGCCACTGGGCTCTACAGAGATTCTCCTAGAGCTTCCTAAAGGTGAGAAGGAGACTGTCAGAGAAGCCAATTTAGAAATTAGGGTCCCTTGTTCCCCACCACTGCTGTAATCATAAAAATTCTGCATATTGGTCTTCCATGTAACAATCTGGTTCAGAGGCTTAAATTAAAAATGTATCTGGTCTTCATATCTTTTTTTTGCACATGAAGAAATTGAGGTATAGAGAGATTTAAAGGCTTTCCCATGGTCACCAGGCAAAAGAGTGGCAAATCAGGTTTTGGTTTAATCTCTAGTCTACTAATCTTAGTTATACCAAGTTGGATCCCCATATTTAATTGCAACTTTAGGTTATAACTTACAAATAAGAGTTGATGGATGGTCTATGCAATGGGCTTTCAGTAAATATTATTTAATTAGCTACCTTGAATATGGTTATTTGTTTATAGCAGGATAATATTCTGTACTTAGCAACTGCTGTGGTTGTTTAAAAAGATATGTTTTTTAAAAACTTTAAGGTACTGTATAGTTATACTTATACTTTGCAAGGTAATTCTACCTGATATTATCCAGTCCTTATTATCAACTTTAAATAACTTGTTCTATTGTATTATGACAAGTCTGGACAAAGCTGTAGGTGATAGCATGTTGCATGATTTTAGAGGGCAGGGAAAGGTATTCTTCATACTCTGCCTCCAAGCAATTAATAAAAAGCCAACCCTACTTGCTCAATGACACAAAATTCCACAGGAAAAATAAGTCAAATGTTTAGGCTTATGTGTTTTCCTTTTACATTTGAAAAACAATGTGACACTCATGGCCCTTCTATCCTCTTAGCCACCAGGACCTCAGTGAATGAGTTTGTTACCTCCTGACTTACAGTGGAAGTCTCCTAGGTATAAGGCATAGGTAGAGAGAAATCACAATGGATTAAAAAAAAAAAGTAAAAATAAATAAAATTGCCATGGAAAAATTTTGTGACATTTATATTTCTCCATTTTGGGGGGACAGTCTACTTTTTTAAAAATTTTCTTACCAGTATTTTCTTAGCTATGCCAATAACATTTTTTTAAAAAGACTGAGTGGTTCCACAGTTTGAAATAAATACTAATAAAATCAAAAGACTGGTTCAAGTGTTGCAACAAAACTGTGGAGGGAAATCTGAGATCCCTACATTCTGTAGGAATTTATGTTTTCTTTGGCCATAGGCATTTTGAAGTAGGGAATATTTGTTAATAAGCTTCAAAGCATTCCGACTGTCCCTCAATGTCAGGTAAACCCCATTTTAAAAAATGCTGTTACAATTGTAATAGCCCAAGCAAATGTGGCTTCAAATATTAGAAGTGACAGATTCTTAGCAAATTTGTTACAAGAAGATCCATTCATTCCACCAATCCTTTTCTTCCAGTCCTTATGAAACAACTACATAGTAAAAAGATATTAAAAATATTGACTAGGTGAAATACAAACTGGCACAAACTAATTAATTTTAACAGAGTTGGCATAAATCATTTGCCCATGACAATATAAATGATATTGCAGATGAATACATAAAAAAATTCTTTGAGACTAGTGACAAAGCATTAAAGTACTTAGCATTAAAACTAGGCACCTTTTCCTTTATATAATTTCTTCAAATTCTTTGCACCTTTACTCCATCCAAAAGTCAATTATTAACAATAACATTGAAAGTAAAGGAGAGTTATTTAAAATATTTCAATGTTTTCAACAGTACAAGAAACAATTTAGGCCTGAGGTCAATAGTTATGAAAATGGGATTTCCTTTTCATAGTAATGATAGTTTTGATGATATTAGCATTCTAGTATTAATTTTCTAATATTGTATTTTCCCAGTTTACCCATGTTTTTTTGTTTTAACAGATAGCTGACAGTGGTTAGAAGAATTGATTCTTTCTGAAACTCATCAAATCGCTGTCTGTAAAATCCATACCTTGCTGTCCATTTGTGAATAAGGTATCATAAGGAGAAAATGTCCCCATACTTGCTTAGCACTTAGACAGAGAAGACATCTGCCCACACACATTCAGTGTGAAGGAAAACCCCAGGGTGGTGTGCATGTTTGAGTGGAAAAGGCAGATAGAGAGGGAGAGGGTGCAACTGTCACAGACTAAGGGACATGGGTGGTGAGATACAGTAAGCACATTCTCCTTAGATAAGATTTCAATGTTAATTATCTATAGAAAAAAACTAGGGAGGAAAATTTTGAAGAAATGCTGTATGTGACAGTGTTTTTAATTTCTACCACGGTAGGTAGCAAAAAGCAAGCAAGGGGAGGACTTCATTTAGAAAATCAGGCTCTTAAAACAACAAGAAAAGCATTTGTTTATTGATAACTGGGAAAATAACCTGTTTCATAACGTGTTTTCTTTGTACTTTGATCTGTTTGTATTGATATTTAAGCTTCTGTTTTATGATCTGTTTCTAATGTTAGAGCCAGAGTTCTTGGAAACCTGGGAGTTTGAAAGACACAGGTGCCGAACCTTAACTTTTCCCTGAACAAGAAAGATGGGCTGTGATCGAAACCATGGGCTTCTTGCCGGTGCTGTGATCGGTGCTGTGCTGGCTTTGTTTGGAGGCATTCTCATGCCAGTGGGAGACTTGCTTATTGGGAAGACAATTAAAAAGGTACAAGTAGTCTAAAGGATGATTTTTGTCATTCTGATTCACTCTATCTTCTGTCCCTTGTTCGCCGTGGGTACCTGTTTTATATTTCATGGTAACTGGTAACTTTTTGTCCTTGGTACAAAAGTGATTATGAGCCACTGCAACTGTACACAGTAGAGAAATGTTAAAAGTATAATATATATTTACCATGAATGAATTGCTATCTTAAGTATAAATATTCAAATTCTGATAAAAGCTATTCATATGCATGCAGGTTAGTTGAAATAACTGTTTAAAGAGCATGCTTTTGAGTAAAAAATAGGTAAGTGTATTCTGTGAGGGTGCATGTGTAAAAGTAAATGTACCTTGGTTAAAACTGAGGAAAGTAAATGTAAATTTATAATATATAATATATAACATACATAATATAAATCTATAAATACATATTATATGTATTCATTTAAACATAATTGTGTTTAATAATGGACCAGAAATTTTTTGTAAAACTATTGTGAACATGAGAATGTGTACCCTACCCAAAGGCATGCATGTTTCTATTTTCAAAAGATAATCCTGGCCAAATAAAACATGTCTGAGTACTGGCGTCAATTCTCAGCCTGATTAGATGGCAAAGGCCTAGATAGAAGGTTAATAAGTACAGTGAACAATGGAGAACAACAAAAATTAAATCATAAAATGGGCTACATGTACCAATTTATACTCAAATTTCTGTTACTGCTAAGGCCTTTATCTTCTTCCTCCATTCATCTATATTTGTCATCTTAATCTTACTAGAAATATCAATAAATACTGTTTTACTTCAAGGAAGCATTGACTTAATTGACTAATATGAAGAATTAATTTTAAATCTAGTTACTCATGATGAAAATTACTATTTTCTATTTCTTTCATTGGCTAAAAAATTATGAAGGTTTTATGCCGACTGGCATGGCTCAGCCTTTGAGCATCAACCTAGGACCCAGGAGATCGCTCTTTGATTCCCGGTCAGGGCACAAGCCCAGGTTGAGGGCTCAATCCTTAGTTGGGGGCATGCAGGAGGCAGCTGATCAATGATGACTCTCTCATCATTGATATTTCTATTTCTCTCTCCCTTCCTCTCTCTGAAGTCAATAAAGATATATTTTTTTTAAATTATAAAGGTTTTAAAGTTAAAAGAAATAATCTCACTATACCATTATAACTGCTCTTACTATAAAAGGTAGAAAAATAAGACATTTTTGAGGTTATAGTTTTTTATATTTGCATGCTATATTTGCTCCATAATAATATAGTCATTTCTGGCTTCTCTATTGCTAACAGATTGTAAATCTTCAGCCCCAGAATTTAACTGGAAAACAAAATTATAAATTGAAAGTCATCCCCTTCTTTGGAATTCTCAATTTTCTTGATATTACTTTTGATGTAGGTTTATAGAGACAGCTAGATCATGAGATGAAGCTCATGTAACAGTGTGAGATGGAATCACCATTGCATAACACATTCACTACTCTGTAAACTCTGCTCACCTCCTGGATCTTCTGTGGAAAGAGAATGAAATGTGTGTGTGCTAACACATAGACTACCACTTATCTTTTGGAAAAGTCTCCAGAATAGAAACATCACAATAATCACCCACTGCACAGAATTTTAGACTAAGACTATTTTTTCAGATACATAATTGTTGATCAGTAGCTGATTATTGATCATCACTTACTTCAACAATATTAGTACATATAGACCATCTGTTAGGTAGCATACAAACTGCTAGCGTCTATTTCAATTGTTTCATATTTGTCTCTATGTTCATAATAGCTAACCCTGAGAAAATAAGTCTTTTGATACATAAAAAATTTGCTTTTGTATAGAGACTAAGAAAGGATAAAATAAATTTTTATCTCAAATTTAAGTTTTAACTGGGAGAAAGCACATTGTAAAAAAATAGAGGTCCATGAGACTTTTAGAATTGAATTCTAACATGTATAATATGGAAAAATAAATGCTATTTAGAAAGAGAGTATTCATATTCAATAACTTCAGGAAGGCGAGATTTGAGTTGGATTTTGAAGAATTAAAGAATTTTGAAAGTTCAAAGAGGCTAAAATAAAGGCATGAAAACACCTATTAATACTATGGGAAAACTTGTGAAAGTGCAATTAAACATTGTGAAGAGGAAAGGAAGAATATAGAGGATGTGCTAAAAATACAGTATTAACAAGAGATGGTTAGAAAAGCAACAACATGGGGTAAGATTTAGAAAGCTTTGGACACCAGGCAGAAGAATATTTCATTAATGATGGGACAGGCAATAGTCACTGGTGTATGTTTTTTGGTAGGGGTACAGTTAGAGATCCATATCATCAAACGGCTCACATTTATTTAGTGCTACTAAGAGTTCGATATGCACTCGTTTATTTAATGTTCACAAATATCTATGAGAAGGTACTATTATTTCACCTATTTTACAGTCACAGGATCTTAAAACAGCTTGACCCTCACCTAGCCAAAAGGAGGAGTCAGCTTCCAAGCCTCGGCAATCTCAAGGCAGAAAGTCGATGGTGCTTCTTGTCCTTTAGCTACAGTAGAAAGTGTTGGAAAGTAAGACGAAAATGCAAAACATGGAAAAAGGTTCCAGGAGGATTTATGGCTCTCTTTGAGAAAGATCTTAGCATACTCTGTAACAAAAGGCACTGTTCTAGTGTGACAGGCTGCAGAGAAAGCACTGAGGGGGGTCGGAAGCAGTGGCAGTTAGGACAGAGGGATTAAATTGAGGGAGACAGGAATACAAACTACATACTCAGCGGAGTTACCAAGAGAAGTGTGTGCCTTAGAAGAATACAACACAGAGGTTTTATAAATGGTTTCATATGCACACCAGTGTGTATTTCAAAGGTCAGAGTTCAAATAGACTTTCTTATTGCCGTACAGATTACAGATAAAACTAAACAGTGATTTGCTTTCCAGAGAGTATGACTGTAGAGACAAAGGAGTAGAGAGAAAACTACATGACGTGTGCATACTTCAGAGGGGGGAAGACGAAACAGAAAGCAAAGAAATGATTTTACGTGAAGAAATAAGGACAAAAGAGCATAATTTTTTGGCATTTAAGAGGAGGCCAACACTCAAGGAAAGACAATAAAATATTCTCAGGCAGGTGAAATTTAAGGAAATACTGTTTAAAACGTGGCACTAAGATTCTGAAAGCATAATTTCAGCAGGGTAAGGTAATAGGGCGTGGGGGAGAGGAAACAAAGAGAGAGAGTGCTTTCCCTTTTGTTTTGAAATGAGGGTTTTCTGTGCAATATTTTACACGACAAAAGGGAATAGTATGGATATAGACTCTGGAAGAAGGAAGAGGTACAAAGCTGAAATTTGAGAGAAGACAGTGTTCCAAAAGTCTATTAAATGATAGCGTACATTATATCCCAGCTACATATCCATCACCTAAGACAGTCTCAGAATCCCTTCAATGGGCAAGGTCTGTGGTACATTTACAGCTGAGCCTGATGTCGTCTCACATTTCTATATAACCATGTTTACCTTGGCAATTTTAATCATATAAAGATGTTGGAACTATTTTCTTTGTTTAAATAAGACTTCTTTTTATTTAGTTTACAAACTAGTTTTTTAAATGAGATTGGCATATCTATCAGTTTGGCATATAGTAAAAGTCAGATGTCTGAATTGTGTGAAAACTCAGAGAGCCAATTGTCTTATCCTTGCCTCGGGAGCACTGGGTTATTGCTGTTATTTTATAAATATGTACAAATTATCCTACTGGTCAGTTTTTGTTTATCATTGGAACTCATTGAAGATTGTTTTCTTCATTTAATTGACTAATAGCAAATTGGGAAAGTTATTACCTGTACACAAGCACCATTAAAAAAAAAAAAAGAATTAAAGTGTTTAATTGAAAAATGTTAGAAAATCATATTATATTTTTATGTTATTTATAAAGTATAGAGTCAGAACTCTATGGTACCTTCCTGTTCTAAAAGATAACACCCTGATACTAGCGTTTGAAATGGTCTAAAATAGCTCAGAAATGTTCCTTTATTTCCAAAGGATGTTTTTTAGGAACTTCATGCTTTTTTATGGATTATAGTAGAAAACTTTCTGACCAGCATTTTATACTGTGGTTCCTAATAGATTTGTGTTGAGTCAGCAGGTTTATGTAATCTTGCTAAATAAACTAAAAGCCAATAGCTTAAACTGCCACAAATCTGCAAACTACAAAAGCACTTTGGAAACAGGTCAAAGTTCTGCCACGATTTAGAAAAGATAATTTGTCACTCGACTATGTTAATATCACTTGATAAATGTTTAGTTAATATTATGTAACATAACTAATTTCAAATAAATTTTAATTTAATTTCCCTATGGTATTAACTATAGAACACCAATAAGGGAATTAAAGTTTTCTTTTTATTTACCTATTAAAAGACTAATGTTCAAGCATATTATCATTCAATTATACCATCCTTTACTTCCTCCAATTCTTGGAAAGAATGATCCTTTAGTAGCTTATAATGAATGCTTTCAGATAAAGTAAATTGAAATAATAATTATGTATGTTCATTAAAATGACTAGACTGTGGAATCAATAGACCATATTTTAATAATATAAATTAATTTACATTTATATTAATTTCATAATATATGCTTATAGTATTTCTACATAAAACAAAATAGTTTGTACATTTTTGTAATATTTAAAAAATTCAAGCCCAGCTGGCATGGCTCAGTGGTTGAGAATGGACCTATGAACCAGGAGATCGAGGTTTAATTCCCAGTCAGGGCACATGCCGGGGTTTCGAGCTCTATCCCCAGCATGGGGCATGCAGGAGGCAGCTGGTCAATGACTCTCATTATTGATGTTTCTATCTCTCTCTCCCTCTCTCTTCCTCTCTCTGAAATCACTAAAGATATATTAAAAAAAAAATTCAAAAAGAAATGCCTGAAATACTTGTGGTTAAAGAAGGTAGAATGTTAAAAAGTGTAATGACAATATATGAGTACGATACATTTCAAAAATTTTTTTAAATTAATATAGTAATAAAAATGGATTAAACACTAGAAATATTTGCATTTTAATTGTAATAATAAAATTATTTAAAAACAATGTTTCAAGAAATAACAGTTAAACATATATCATTTTCTTCTTCCAGCCCAATGTAATATCAACATAGTTTACTTTTCATGCCAAATATTAAATGTCTCATTTTAGGTTCTCACATAAATTCCTGGAGGCTAATTTCCTGAGTTTTAGAAATATTAAATTCAATTTGTTTCACTGAATTTCATTCTGGGTTTTAACTGATAACTTTGTAACTGAGACTAAGGCCATTTTTTTGACTCAGCACCACAAATATTCTAATTCATTCTCTTTCTCTCAGTGTGCGCACGCACACACACACACACACACACACACACACAAATGAGAAATACTTTTTAACATGAGGAAATTGCTTGTACCTAACAGAACAAGTTGTGGTAGTGCTTGGAGAGAAAAAGATTATTTTCAGTATGTTTCTGCTTTTCAAGGAAGTTTTCATTTCACTGTGGTGAGTATAAATACAAAAATGATTAAGTAGCAGAAAAATGAGTTTCATGGGATATTACATGAGTTGTTGCCACATGACTTGTTTAGATAGTATATAATATAAATGAATCAGTTAAAACAATCTGGGAGTAAATTACATTAGCATTCTTCCTCTAAAGAGTGGGTAGGATTTATATAGTAATAATAGGTAATGAGTTTATTGAATGCTTGTTATCTGCTAACACCTTTTTAAGTGCTCATATTTATTAATATTTATAACAAACTATGAGGATAAATACTTACTTAAACTATACGCAACTAATGTTGACTTTCAAAAATAATAATTTCATATGGTTTAACCTAATATTCCCATTTTACAGATCAGGAAACTGAGGTACAAAAATAATTTAATAATCTGCCTGATTTTAAATGATTAGTACATGACCAAACTCAGGGTCAAACTCATAGCATCTTAGATTCATTCTTAACCATGTCACTCTATGCTTTGAGGGAAGAAGCCACCGTACTTGGTCAGGGAGGGGGTAGGGTAAGGGAATCTAACTCATTGATTACAATCTGCTATGCATGATTCTGCCTCTTAGTGTTTTATAATATCCTTGAGAAATGGGACAATGTCTTTTCTACAACTGTACCCTACATACTCCACACATAGGAAGATTTCAAGGGCATTTTTGTAGTTACATACAGTTGTCAGTCACGTAGATGGGTACTGTTTTCCTGCAACAACAGTAATCAAGTGAGCGTGTGACTAGATAAAATATATCACTATCATAAATATCTGTTTTTAGATTAATGAACTAGAATAGAAGTTTCAAAATCAATGGCTTTCCAACCCAGCTAGAAACCATGCCATGAGAGTCACAAGGTTAGAATCCAGCCATTACTGGGGCTGGATAGTCTGTATACGTAAAGTCAGGGACAGATACTGATGTACACATCAACTAAGTCAGAGGATCTTAAATTATATTACTTTTTCTGTGCAATAGTGATCAGCTTTACACTTCAAATTTAGTGAAGGATTTGGAGAATCGACTGGGTAGTCCAAATCCAATTTAAAAATCAAGGCCTTTAAAATTCACAAGGGACATAAAATCTTTTACTCCTTTAAAAAAAAAAAGAACTTGTGACATATTTAGCCTTGATAGTCAAGGAATGGCTATACAATTTTCTAATACATATAATCGTGTTAGGACCAGAAGAAATGCATTCCTATATTGACTGCTTCAATATTTTTCTCTTTGTCTCTGAACAAATCATGATGATGCGGAAACTACACAAAATTGCAGTGAAAATACCTGTATTTTTTTTAATTATTATTATTATCAGCTACTAAAGTGTCATATGTCATTGAATCAGACATCTGTTTTCTCTATGACCCATTTCTATCTCTGAAAAAATCGGATGGGTTTAGATGACCCTAATTTTAACAGTAGATAATTCAAAGCATCCATTTCAAATCTTTGTGTTTCAACATTTCTATTTTTTTTTTAATCTTCAGATTAACAATTAAGGCAAACTGATTTATGGCCTTTAGAAGAAAGGTATATTACACTTACAGGGTCTTTTGACATTAAATGCATATGCATTAGAGTGAGGGAGGACTTCTGTCCTGCTAAAAACATTCCATCACAGACCGTTTTCAATTCTATAAGCATTTATTGATTTTCTTTCATTAAGAAGTGAACTAAATGATGTGCCTTGAGAGGTACATGATAAATAATTTATATTGCATTAGTCCTTAAGATTCTTAGAGTGTGAGAGTAATGTGTACATGTATAGGGTCATGTATGTTTTCCCCTCATAAGTCTCTTGAAATAGGTAAATTAATACAGCTCTCAGCTTCTATATAGATTTCAGCTTCAACATCCTCATTATACATCTTTACATTTAGAAGAATAGCCATAACACATTATCTATTTGTAATTTTGTCTTAATATGGGGCTTGTTAGTACGGAAATCCAATTTTCTGGGAGCAAATGGAAGGTTTTCCAAGAACAATTGGTGGTGAAAGTCATAGTGCCTACCATCACTTTCGCAGCTCGGTGTACCCAGTATAAATTATTGCAACAACAGGATTTTGTAATGGCGTTTTTAGAGTGGTGCCTTGTTCGCCCTAAGGAATTGCCCTATTCTCTGCTTTAAGCAATAAGTAAAGTTTCCTGAAGATATGAAACTTGATTTGATTTTTCCAACTAAGTGCAGAGGTTGCACAAAGTGCATGATGTAAAAGAGGAGTAGTCTAGGGTCAGGGCCCGGGGTTCTCAGCGTGACTCTGCCACGATGTGCCCAGGTTATCCTTGGGCGAGCCTCCTGGCTTCTCAGAGTCTCGGAGTGCTCACTAGAAAAATGTGATGATAATGTTCCGTGTCCTTTCCTGATCCATCATTCTATGAATTGATGCTTCCGGGTGAAGGAAAAAAATAGGTCAAATTGTGTTTCTATATTCATGGGCCTCTTCATGTTCATTTTCTGTGAAATAGTTTTCTTCCCCTTCCTCTAGCACACTAAGGCAAGTTGGAGCTTTCCATCTGGGCATTTTTTCCAAGGTTCTTAATTGGAAATACTCCCTGATGCAAAATCACCTTTGTTGGCACTAGTGACTATAGCTTCATAGACTTCCGGCTCAGAGAGGGAAAGCCGTAGAAGGAAACTGGGATAGCATCTAAAACTCCTTTATTTTAAAGATAACAAGATTAACCCTGAGGGTTTTGGTGACTTTCCACTCAGTCCCAAAGCTCCCAAAGAAAGGGATAGATTTCTAATACAGGGTTTTATGATTCTGTCATTGGTGGTTTTTTTCCGCTACAAGGGGTATCAATATTTTTTATTGGATTTCACAAAAGAATACTAGGACAACTTCTTTATTTAATCATTTTATTTAGAAAAAGTATCCTAATAATAATGAATTAGGCTGTTGTAATTTTTGGAAATGTGTACTGTTGGGTTGCTGCAGATATATTGAGGGTTAGGGAAGCCATACTGAGCATGATTTTGAAGGGGGAGGAGTCATTTTTGTGTTGCTTATTAGGAAGCATTTGTTTTCTTAACAAACATTAAGTGATCATCCCCTGAAGTGTCCAGCTTTTGAAGAAAATAGCTTCCATGACCACTAGATTTTTCTCTCTTTTTCTGTTTTGCCTCATCAACTCAACTCACTGAGGACCGAAGAAAACTTAATGTTCTACCTGATAATAACTTTTTGGAACAGCTTTAATAAAATTTGCTTAGTAAATTGTGTTGTTACTAACTGCTGCAATATTGCCACAGGGTCTCTGTAGAAGGCTTGGTAGTAATTGGCTTAAGATCAACAGACACGTGTACAGTGTTACACATAAATTCTTTTTGTAAAAGAGGTTGCTATAATAATTTGTTGAAACATTTCTGTTGCAAGTGTGTGGCAAGATTGCAAGGGTTCTCATGTACAAGGTACATGCATATCATCTTTTCATTGGCTAACTAAAGGTGAAAATTCCCAGAAGTGCCCTTATTCATTAAAGAAATAACCAAAACTTGTTCTCTTTTTTATAGGAAGTTGTTCTTGAAGAAGGTACAATTGCTTTTAAAAACTGGGTTAAAACTGGCACAGAAGTTTACAGACAGTTTTGGATCTTTGATGTGCAAAATCCAGACGAAGTGATGTTGAACAGCAGCAATGTTAAGGTTAAGCAAGTAGGTCCTTATACATACAGGTTAGTGAGTTCCCTCAAGTAAGTGGCACACTTCCCTTGACCATATGTATTTCTAAAGTGGCTTACATATGATAAATGCCATTGATTTGAAATGTACTTATATTATCTTGTCAATAGTATACATTGAAATATTTTGTTTCTGCCTATATAGAATTCTGATCTAAGGATTTAATAATGATAAGAAATATAGATGTGCATCTAAATTGACCAACATCAATTAACTGTCCTACAGTTAAGAAGTTATATGTGTTTTACACTTGTGGAATGAATTCTCAACAAATCTGAAATGTGCATGCTCAATGGGGGAAAAAATCTACCAGAATTTTAAAAACTAGAGTATTTTAACATTTTTAAATTAATGTATAGTTTATATCAGTGGTTCTCAATGTGTGGTCCCTGGGCTAGCAGCATCAGCATTACCTGGGAACTTGGTAGAAATGCAAATCCTCAGGCCCTACCCCAGACCAAATCAATCAGAGACTCTTGGGTGGGAAACCAACAATAAGTTTTACAAACCTCTCTAGACGATTCCAATACACACTTACACTTGAGAACCACATTAAACTGATTTTACACAACTACAGTACCTGCTAAAGATTTCTATTCAAGCTAATTTCCAGATGAAATGGGGGTTTCAAATACATTATTATGTATTTTCCAGCACTGAGGCTGAATATGCTATACATTTATCCCACATTCCCTAATAGTTTAACACACTTTTGAATGGCATCTTGGACACGGGGGAAATAATAGCCAAAATTTTTCATTTTGCAATTAAACAAAACACACCAGGGGATGTGATAGGATTTATTCATGTTCATACAGAACTAGGAACTGGTAACTCCTAGATTTTTGTATGTTTTCTCCTATTTAAGACTGTGTCTCCCCCCCCCC